AATATTCATATTACAAGTTCTTAGAATAATCTATATTTAGAAAAGAAATATCCTCATTTCAATACAAATGCCAAACAAAAAGTAGACTTTAATTTGGCGACTGATCCCATTGTGTATTTTAGAGGCACTTAGTTAAGTTCCTTTAATGAATTAATGAGAAATCGATACAAGGACTGTAACTGACCTAATACTCTCTTTCCTCGGTTCATTTTGTTTACTCTTATTTACTCCCATTTCTTACAAATAACACCAGTATTTGGTTTTCGCTCCCAATTTCCTTTCCAATTGTCTGCTTGCTCCACAGCCATTAATTAGACACCAAACCAATTAAACACATGCCAAAGAAAACGGCCGGAATAGTCGTAGAATGTTAATGAAGGTATACGAAACACGGTTTGACGTTTTAATATTTAGTCAGGGAGTCAGAACATAGTATTCAATTCAAACTCATTTTTAATTACTTATTAATACATTACAATGGTAGGTGTAAGGTACGCTAAGGTTAATAAGTAGCATGTTAGAATAGTTAATAATTGAGTATGCTTATTTTAAAATAACAAAGAAATTTTAAAAAAATATATTTACACCTACAGAAGCAACAGATTATTCTCTCTGGCGAAGAAAATAAAAAATAAAGCAGCTTTAGCAACAAATAGTTTTAACATAAGACAATTCTGGACTTTGGGCTAGAAATAATAGAAAAAAGGCAAATATACTTGACCAATATTAAAACAAAAAGGTTTTAAACTCTTCGACTACGTACAAATAGAGAAAGATAAAGAAATATAAAGATTCCTCCAAGCACCTCATCAAGTGGATCCTCTTTTTCTTCTACTTAGCCTTCTGTTGTCCATTTTTGGGCATACTCCTCTCCCAGCTTCTTCGATCGATTTCTATCCTAAGCAACATACTTCCAATTGGTTCCGAATACTCTTTGTATTTATTCTATTCAAGTATATGCTCCTACAGCAGAAAAACCAGAATGAGAAGTACGAGAATTCTACCAAACAGCTAATGAAGATCACAAAGAAAAATGCTGTAAACATTATCATGGGAGATTTTAATGCAAAAGTAGATGAAGGGCGGACCGAAGACGTAGTAGGAAACTTTGGTTTGGGACAAAGAAATGATAGAGGACAAATACTGGTCCAATTTTGCCAAGAAGAAAATCTAATGATCGCAAACACCTGGTTTAAACAACCAAAAATAAGATTATATACATGGAAAGCACCTGGCGATAATCAAAACCGCATTATAGAAATGGAATCAGGGGAGTTAAAATATATCCTGGGGTGGACATCGGTTCTGACCACAATACTGTTGGTAAAATTTCAATTAAACTAAAGAAAATCAAAGAAAGAGAGGATAAAACCCTAGCCTCGAAAAACTTAAAGATCCAATAGTACAGGCAGAAATAGAAAAAACATTCAATGATACACTTAAAAAAAGTTCTGTGACACACCCGCGGAAGCAAAAGAAACAATAAAAGTATTTGGCACACCTTCAAAACAACAATCACAACTATACAAAGAGAACAACTACAAGACAACATCATAAAAACAAAGAATATATGGATGACAGAGGAAGTCCTGGAACTGATGGACATAAAGAGATCTTCCTTAAATTGCAATCAAGAAAAATATAAAGAGGCCCAGAGAATCATCCGAAACAAAATCAGGAAAGCCAAAGAAGAATGGATGGTCAGCAACTGTGAGGAACTGGGAGTTTTATTTAAAAAGCATGATTAATTTATTGCATACGAAAAGATTAACAAAGTCACAAATATTAAGAAAAAAATCACTACAACTTTAGAAGGTGATAACAACCAAATAGCATCTAGTCCAGAAAATGTAGGAGATATGTGGGAAAAATACATCAAAGATCTGTTTGATGACGAGAAAATAGAACCACAAATGAATATAGTACAATAAACAATACTTAATATGTTAACATCGGAAGTTACAAAAACATTCAATACAACAAAGCCACGAAAAGCCTTAAGTCTAAATGAGATATACGTAGAGATGATAAAGCTTATCAATGAAGAAAATCTTAAGACGTTAACACTATTATTTAACAAAATATACACCACTGGAATCTTCCCAGAAGACAGGCTCGTTTTCACGCTACGTCTTATTGTACGTTTTGTTGATCATATAAAACGTACGACAAAACGTACGTTTTGTCCAGTGTATACACACCACGTTTTTCTTTTCTACAAGACGTACGTTTTGCTGTTTACACGCCACGTTTTATTGTATAGAATTTGTCCTATCCAACAAAACGTACAATAAAACGTAGCGTGAAAACGAGCCTTTAGATCGACATTTATACCTATTATAATCTTTGGCTCGACAATCCTCTGTGGATATTGGCTTGCTCTAAGATTCGTTGCCATTCTGTTCGGTTTCTGGCAACATGTTACCATCGTCTGATTTTTAATATCCGTAAATCGGTTTCAACTCCATCCAACCACCTAATTCGCGGTCGGCCTTTGCTTCTTCTTCCTACGGGTGTTCCTGTGGTTAGCTTTTTAGCAATCGTATTTTCTGGCATTCGTATTATGTGTTCAGCCAATGGCTGTGTAAGTCGCTGTGTTTTAATGAACGTTTTGATATCTGGCTCATCAAAGAGTTGATACAATTCAAAATTATATCTTCTGCGCCACTGCTCTTGGTCGTTTATATTTCCAAATATTTTCAAAAGTCTTTCATCTTTCTACGTTAGAGTCCATGTTTGTGCTGCATATGTGAGGACCGGCCTCAGCAATGTTTTGTATATAATAATTTTAGTTATTATTTGAATGTTTCTTGAGTGGAAATGCTTTTGGAGTCCATAGTATACCCTATTTGCTAGATGTATTCGTCTTTTGATTTCTTCGCTTGTTTTATTGGTAGCAGTCAATAGCGACCCAAGGTATGTGAAGTTGTCAACACGTCCAAAGGTATGACTTCCAAAGACTGTTTCTCGTTCCTCATTTGCTATCGGATCCTTTGTAACCAACATGTACTTGGTTTTGTCTTCGTTGATGACTAGACCGACCTGTTTCACCGCTGTTTCCAATTCTAGGAGATATTGCTCAACATCTCGCTTGCTACGGCCTATTATGTCAATGTCATCAACATATGCTAAGACTTGTATCGATCTATTGTAAATAGTACCGCCATTCCTAATTCGTGTATCTAGGACTGCCTTTTCTAAGTCCATCCTTTTTCTCAAAGGATCTAGAATTCTCTCCCTGTATTCTAACAGTGGCTTCTAAGTTAGACATTGCCATTCTCGTTAGTCGGATAAGTTTCTCTGGTATACCAAACTCATGCATTGATTGGTATAGCACTATTCTCTTGACACTGTCGTATGCGGCCTTGAAGTCGACGAATAGGTGATGGGTTTTAATATTGAATTCTAATGTTTTCTCGAGAATCTGTCTTATTGAATGAATCTGGTCAACTGTTGATTTTTCTGGAGTGAATCCAGCTTGATATTTACCAACTATGCCCACTGTGTAAACTTGCAGCCTTTCGTAGAAAATATTTGCTAGTATTTTGTAAGCAGTTGTTAACAGAGTTATACCTTTATACTTGTCACACTGGAGCTGGTCACCTTTTTTATGTAACGGGCATATCGCGCCTTGAGATCATTCACAGGGCATGGTCTCATTATGCCAAACAAGAAGTAAAAGCTTATGCAGTGTCTGTAGTAGGGCATCGCCACCATTCTTGTAGAGCTCACTACAAATTTGATCAATTCAAGGTGATTTATTATTTTTAAGCTTTTTAATGGCTTGGGCAACGTTTTCGATGGTAGGTTGTCTTTCGTTTGGGTTGAAATGATTCCAATCATTTCGATTTGCTAGGGTGTTATCTGCTTCTTCGATATGATGGCCATTAAATTTTGCATAAAAAAATTCAACCCATCTGTTTAGGATTAAGGCCGTATCATTTAGGATGTTTCCTTCTACATCCTTACAGCTCCTTATTCTTGGCTTAAACTCTTTGCACATTTTGTTTAGATTTCTGTAGAACTTTCGAGTTTCATTTTGAGTTTTTAGCTATTCTGTGCTTTCCAACTGCTTTTGCTCAAATTATCTTTTTTGTTCTTCTATATAATCATTTTTCTTCTCTTGTTAGGATCCGGTATTCTTCTTTTGCTCTTCTTGTGCATCCAGCTTGATTTGTCTTTATGTATGCCCTGTTTTTGTTATCTGTTGCTTCTTGGCACTCCTTGTCAAACCATTCGTTTTCTTTAACTGGTTTGGTTTTCCTCAATATTTTTGTTGCTTTCTCAGTTATTATGTTTTTACATTTTGTCCACAGTTTCTCTACATTTTCCCCCACCTTCAGGCTCTCTATTTATACCTATATCCAAGAAAAATAAAGCACCTAGATGATCACAGTTCAGATTAATCAGTCTGATGAGCCATTTTTTGAAAATTTTACTTAAAATTGTACATCAACGAATATAATAGAGAATGCGAAAGAAACCTGAGCGACAATCAATTTGCATTTCGTATGGAGCTTGGTACAAGGGAGGCATTATTTGTTTTTTTTTTTGTGGTAACATCCTTGACCCTTGTTTTAATTTTTACGGTTGTATATCTTTTTATCTAACAGTCGTATAACTAACATTGCTCTCTAAATTGCCCTGTCTGCTGTGTTATATTGAACTAATCCTGATGCCAAGTTAAGTCGAATACCATTGCAATATTTACTTAATATTTTATTATAATTCAGTATAAAATTATTCGAAACCTTGTTTTTATTTAAACAGGAAAAAATTTAATCTAATAATAATGATAATATACAGTTATAACCAAGAAATTTTACAAATGAATGTATCTAACTACAACTCTCGTCAACTTAGTACAAATTTTGGCATAAAAGATATTTCAACATGACAATCAAGTTTAAACAACGCTTAAACATGTACTTAAATCTCCTTTATTTTAATGCAATTATATTGGATGGTAGTACATTTATATATTATTTTTTTCTTTTTAGACAAATGCACTATGTATGGGCTTTTAATAGAAAATATGTCGGAGTATATCAAGCAAACGTACGGAGAAGACAAATGGGAGGAAATCAGGCGAGCTGCTGCAGTAGACCAACCAAGTTTCAGTACACATCAAGTATATCCAGAAGGATTGCTGCCAAGGTTATCCAAGAAGGCAGTACAGGTAAACGTTTTCTTTTATAATTTTCCAGTTCTTCTTTCGTCTTCATCTTTTCAAACGCCAAAAATCGTCTTTTGTGTCGATATTTTCATATTGAAATTTTAATATTCTTTTCACAATTAAAAAAACGGTAACAAAAATATTATTTTTAACAAATAAATAAATTTAAATATATAGAGAAAATAATTACGTAAGAAACAAGGGTTGGTGCCAAATTTGAACTATAATAATATCTCTATGGCAGCAAAGTTATAATTATCATCATCATTATTCTGCCTTTTTAATCCGCTGTGAATCTATCCTCAACAATATCTCTCCAGTGATCCCTATCCATCGCTTTCCTATGCCAAGCACGTACTCCTATATTTCTCATATCTTCATAAGCATTATCACGGAACTCTAATCTTGGTCTCCTTTTTCTTTTGTAGCCAAAGGATCTATCAAGTATTTTTCTAGCTGGGCCTATCTTCAAATGTCCTCTCTTAATGTATTTTACGATAACTCGTTTCTGGTATATTCCATATAATTCGAAGTTACATCGTTTTCAAACTATATTGTAATCTACCTTCTTCTTCTTATGGTGCCTATCTGGATGTCTTAGGATGAAGCCTTACAGATGTTGGACACTAGCATAGCTATTCTGACTTTCTTGACTGCTGCCCTGAAAAGTCCGGTAGTTGTTAAGTTAAATCACTTTCGCAGGTTATGCAGCCAGGATATTCTTCTCCGTGCTGGACCTCTTTTCCCATGCACTTTACCTTGAAGTATGGTACGAAGTAGGTCATATCGTTGTTCATTGCACATGATATGGCCCAGATATTCTAGCTTTACCCATTCTATGTAGTACTTCTTCATTGGTAACTCTGTCTATCCAGGAAATCCTCAACATGCGTCTATAGCACTACATCTCAAATGCTTCGAGTCGCTTCAGTGATGCTTCAGTTAAGGTCCATGACTCCACGCCATATAAAAGAACGGAAAATGCGTAGCATTTTAGTAAACGAACTTTTATTTCCAATTTTAGGTCGTGGCTGTTAAAGATTTTTTTCATTTTGACGAAAGCTGATCTTGCCTTCTCGATCCTTATCTTAATTTCCGTCGATTGTTGGTTAACTAGCAATTGACCAGGTGGTATCCTATGCCCAAATCTGCTACTTACTTCTGCTACCCTAGAGACAAGTATCTGCAGACCTTCAAGACTGTCTGCAAAATGACAGTATCATCAGCGTATCTTATGTTGTTCAATCGTTCTCCGTTTATAAGTATTTCCTCGTCTATGTCCGTTAGCGCCAGGTTCATAATGTGCTCTGAATATGTATTGAACAACAATGGGGACAGTATACATCCCTGTCGTACACCTCTCTTTATCTTTATATCGTCTGTTAACTGATCCCAACTCTAACAGCTGCAGTTTAATCGTAATAGATATTGTTTATTATACAGCGATCTTTGCTGTCTAGACCAATTTAATTTAATATTTTCTTCAGTTCGTCATGTTTTATTCTATCGAACGCTTTCTAGTAATCAACAAAACACACATATATATCACAATTCACGTCTCTACATCTTTGAAAGAGAACTTGTATTCCAAAAAGTGCCTCTCGAATACCCAATGCATCCCTGAGACCGAATTGTGTGTTTGTCATGTGTTCTTCACACTTCACACAAGGTTTTCAGAAGATTGCTCATAAGGCTTATTATTCGATAATCTTCACATTTTTTGGCATTGGGTTTTTTAGGGAATGTTATAAAAGTTTATCTTAGCCACTGTTGGGTTTGACTGTTGGGTATGACTCTTAGTGTGTAAGTAAAACGTGTGGTGTTAAATGTATTGATCATCTAAACTTAAAAAATGGTGACAGCTTGACTATTACTGTGAAATAAGTTTCGAAAATGTTCGGTGTGAGTGTTTAAAAATTTATGCAGCAAGGTAAACTGAAACCGGTTCAAAAAAGAAAGAGAAACAGTTTCTAGTCCATTTTACGTGAGATTACTTATGATGAGGGAAAGAAATAAGGAAAATTGTCCATGATTTTTATTGGAAAATATACTACCAACCATCGCATAGACAGCATAATAAACAGAGCGTAGAATGATGAGGACCTACCACATTTTTCAAAATGACAAGTGTTTTGAATATGGTAAAAGGTAGTAAATGTGGTAAAATTTATTTAGTGGAATATATTTTATTTAGATTAAGTTTGCGTTTGACTGTGTCTAGTCTCTAATAGAGCTAACAGTCATAACATACCAATCAAAATGGTAAGACTTGTAACGACTATTTTGCTTACCACAGGGTAAGAATATGAGGGGACAAGATTGGGCAAACAAAATAATCGAAACAAGTGCATACGACACTCAGTTGGTTGTTGGAGAGCTGGGTCGTGGATAAGTTGAAGATATTAGGAGTTAGATTTGTGAAACTACAAAAAAAAGAAATAAAGGGGTACTTATACAAATCTCTTGGGACAAACAGAATGAAAATAAACGGAAACACCTCAAGAAATTTAATATAGGGCGCCACTTGAGGTGCCTAATTATACCTATTACAACCACTAGTTGTAACTAGGGAAATAATTATAGAACATCAAAAATATAGAAAAAAAAATATCTTTTTCAAATAAAACTCAAAATAGATCAGAGAAACAAATTAAACATTTATTTTTGTCTCACCAAACAGTTTTCAAAAATACAGCTTATACAAAGGCATATTATATAAAAATAGCTGTCAAATACAAATGAAAAAACTTACATATCTGTTTACAAAAGGTTACAAAAACCTTCGAAATGGTTCCTAGCAAATAACGTAGCCAAATTAGATTAACATTTTATGGATATCCTTTTGTGAAAATAAAATTTAATCTTTACTATAAAATCAAAATATTTTTACAAAAGATTAAACATTAAACTGTCATACGCCAAAACAAACATTTTTAAAACAGGATAAAATTATGACATGACAGTTTAAACCACGCCCTAACATAATATTTATTTTAATTACAAATATTTTTTTAAAAAATAATTTATAAAAGAAAGCAAATTTTGTCTTTTAAAAGAAAATGTCTATTTTTACTTTAAAAATTAATAACGTAAATGTTACCTCAGTTCACACATGTTAACTTAAACTTTTGAACAACTGGCTAATTTCTGCGGGGTATCTAACTGCACATCAACGGAAAGCTTTATTGGAAGCTGAAACTGGCACATTTAAATCAAAACTGCTTCAATATCTTTCTACGTGAGGTGAAAAGGCATCTCGGAAAGGAACTGGATTTCTCAAAAAACGAAAAGAAAGCAGGAACTAAACTCGTTCACTTCTCAAACATTATAAATCTTCAGCAAAATCAAAACAGTGGTTAGTGGTCACTCTTTCAGAAACGACCTATTACATAGAGTGAAAATTCCACCATTTTTGGCGAATTAATGCCGGCTTACCACATCACAATTAAACGACCCTTCCCTTCGAGCAATTCTTCATCACCTCCTTTCAAATCTTTGACTCAATTCTCACATGTCTGCCCCGTTTCTAATCAAATCTTAGACTCTACATTGTAGCACGTCTGCCCTCCTTGGAACTTAAATCTCGACTCTGTTTCAAATCTTTGACTCAATTGTCACATGTCTGCCCCGCTTGGAACTTAAATGTCGACTCCCTATCCGCGTTACATTTTACCAATTCAAAGCCAAAAAATTTCCCTTCCGTCTTACAGCTAGCCTGTCGTCCACAAACTTAAAAGAAACAATATTCCCCTTGTTATTCGTTCCTAACGATGAAAGACAAATAAAACCTTTTTTATCAGGGGCATCATAAATTATAATCCATAGATATACATAATACAAATTAACAAAATAGCACGTATTTTAAACTGGAGTTCTACCTGACTTGTAACAAAAGGTTCGATATTTGAATCTAAACACAGGCAAAAAACATCTATATTTACTTTTGAATCGGTAGAAATATACGCATTATTGATTATTCTAACCGGAATATTAGGGGGACTTCATGTAACATAATACCTCTTTGGTGACAAAAAAAACTTGTTGTTTCACCTAGCATTGCAACACAGAGATAAAAACATATTTCCAGCGTTAATACGCATTTAAAAATCTCGTCAAAAAAACTTGAAATATCATTTCGATTGTTTTCTTTGGTAAAAACAACAGGAGCGTACTACAGAAATCTTTTATATACACCTTAAATAAAAAAAACGCTACAGACTGATGAAGAGAGACGTGATACAAAAGTACAGGTGTTTTAAGTTGAAAGATGACTGCAGTTGTGGTAGTCCTGTATTATAATTGGAGAATGCCAATAAGACAATTAGCGTAGATTCGCCCTTATTTGTCATTAGTCGATTTTGCAGTAGATTTTTGTTCTAACGTTCTGGTCTCTTATTAACTTTTAGCATGTTCCATTATATTCCACTCCTTTACTTCTTTTTTTATTTAATGACTTCACATATAATGTCATATTCATAAATAACAAGTCATATTTCGGATTTTTCTTCTCATGTGATAATAATTGGTTTACCAATGTCTAACTCTGTGCAAAAAGAAACAAGTCTACTACCACTGAAAGGCTACATTTTTTTACGTGTAGAACGTAATAAGTTAAATAATATGAAAAAATTCATTTGTGCAAAAGAAAATAAGTGGACTTGTTACCTCCTTTACAGTATTTGAATTCACCAAACACTGCCTGGATGTCATATTTCCAGTTAGTAACAGTACATTTTGGTTTGGTTTGGTATCTTTTGTCCGTTCTTGTTTAAGACACTACTACTCTGGCAACCCTGTCCTCAATGACATGTGCATATATTAATTCAACCTTGGTGGGAGTGTGCTATGGACATGTGCTTGGTGCAATGCAAAGGTTACGTATTGTTGGAGGTTACTTTTGTGCTTAAGTCTTGCTTCCTCAGATCGTCAATGATGTAATAAATGTAGACGAAAATCAACCCCAAGAAAAAGTTAAAAAGAGAGGCTCAAAAGGTGATACTAGAGAAGAAAGACAAAAAAAGGTATCCCGAAATCAAGGATTGGCGTATTTTACGGGACAAGGTATGAAAGTTGCTGAGCCGAATTTAACTACCACTGCCTTCTTGCAGAAAAAAGTGCAGTGGGAAAATTTCACTTGAAAATCAAAAAAATATTTTCACTGCCTATTGGAATTTAAAGACACGTTACCAAAGGGCAGCCTATCTGTGCGGTCTCTTAAGTAAATATGATAATCTGAACCAGGGTTAAAGGACGCGACAAAATACGCCTAAAAACCAGAAGAAAAGAACAGCTTTAGTTCATTACAATATTCCAATTCAGGGCCAAAGGATCGATGTCTGTAAGAGCTATTTTCTCACAATATTTGACGAGACAGTAAAGTTTGTATGGACCATTGTCCAACAAAAAAGGCTTTCCATGCTTCAACAACCACCCCAGATGAACGAGCCAATCACATCCTTGGAAATAAAATATCCACAGACAGAATGGCTTTGGTGCATTAGCACCTTGCATCTCTTCCAGCATATGAGAGTTATTACTGTCGTAAAGAGACTATACTAAAAAATATTTACCACCTCACTACACGCCGGAGGAAGTTTACAGTAAATATAAACAAGAAGTAGATGACCCAGTCAGTTATTATTTATGGCAACGCCTTTCGTAACTCCGGAATAACAATAAAAATCCTAAAAAGGGTACTTCTCATACACGTGACGAAATTAAAATAAAATTTTCATACGCTCAATATATCGAGAAGGAATTGTTACTGGAAAGTAGGAAGAATTATCACATGAAAGCTTTATTAACTTATGCAATGAAGTTGGCAGACAAGCAGCAGAGTCAGAATAACCCAAACTTTACTTCAATTGCATTTGATTTACAAGCGTGCTCGGGGAACTTCACTTGTGCAAACATCAGGGGCCTTCTGTAAACGACAATAAATTATGAACATTTAATCTGACCATGCACAGCATGAAAACAGGATTCGCTTCATGTTTTCTGTGGTATGAGAATATGGCAAAAAGAGGAGGAAACGAGATTGCTTCTTGTGTGTTCCATGGACTCCACCAAATAGAAAAAAATATTTCACATGTCGTTTTGTACAGCGACTCATGCACAGGTCAAAAACCTGTTGAAAACAGAATTATCATTTACAAAAGAAAAGAGGCTTACCAACAACCACTGCCACTATCATTTTAAAAGAGACATTTTGTCAATATTTCTGTACCTCTCGCCGGTGTATTATAAATTTTATCAAGATCTACCAGCCCAAGGTGTTTTGCTCGATCGTTTAATAAGTGACGAAGAGGACAAACATTTTTTTATTTACCATTTTTTATAATAATACATACACGTTAGATATACCTTTTTTATTAATAAAGTTTTTGTAATAAATTTAATGTATTTTTGTGCCTTGAAGCTGCTAAAAAAAGAAATAGTATCTGAGTAAGTATGTGTAATTGGTAACAAGTAAGGAAAATATTGTGCATTTTGTAACAAGTCAAGAAATTTGACTAAATTGAAAGTTCAGCTATAAAATTTTAATAAAACCCTACTTAAAACGAAGAACGAATAAATTTTTAATACTTCATATTTTTTAGATATTGCAAGTTAGCGAAAGAGAATTTTTCGATCAAATGGGCGTATTTTTTATTGGATTCGTGAGCCAATATGGTTACGACAGAGTTCTATCAGTTTTGGGTAGACATATGAGAGATTTTCTTAACGGTCTCGACAACCTTCACGAATATCTTAAGTTTTCTTATCCTAGAATGAGGGCGCCTAGTTTTATTTGCGAAAATGAAACGAAACAGGGATTGACGCTGCATTACAGAAGCAAGAGAAGGGGATTTGTGTATTACACTATAGGACAAATAAGGGAGGTAAGCCAAACAATAAAGTAGGATTTTTCTTTAATTAAAGTTATATTGCAGGGCGGTATTTATTTTTTATTATAATTTGAACCCTCCACTGCATTAATTATTGCAAACAGAAATAAAAAATACTTTTATGTATTGTAATTTTTATTGAGGCATATAAAACGCATTAGTACATTTAAAATAACTGTTTAGTCCTATATATACAGGGTGTACCAGACTAATTTACCCACGCTATATCTCTTAAACGAACAGAGATTTTCGAATAGGACAAAAAGTGATCTATTCTACTTGTAAAACACTTTAATATAGCGTAAAAAAAATCATCCCCTAAATATCCATCCCTTAGTTATAACCCCTAACTTTAATTTTTTTAATAGCACCCTCTATATTTTTTATATGCTTGACTTCTGACTGGAGTTTTTCTTCTGGGGACATTGACTGTAATGTTAGTGATTTTCTAAATAGACTTGTATCTATTTTTAATAAAGCATATCCTCTATTATACATCAGGCCAAAACATAACAAACCTTGGATTATCAAAGGCATTCGCATATCTGCGAAAAATATGCGTTCTCTGCTATATATTAAAAAATTTAATGACAGTATCCCCATCTCTGATTATATCAACAAGTACAGAAAATGCTATATAAAACTACTCAAAGTAGCCAAAAAATCCTACTTTCATAATCGCTTAACAAGCTCCAAAAATATTTCAAAAGAAACTTGGTCAATAATAAACGATTTTCGAAATAAAACCAGTACAGCGAATCAAACCTTTTCTTTTCCTAACCCCGAAAATCTTAATGATTACTTTGTTAATGTGAGTAAAAATATAACCTCAACTATTTCGCCACAACAAGATCCAGTTTCCTATCTCTCTAATTCAAAAAACATTGCTGATACCTTCTTTTTAAGACCAGTTGATAAGACGGAACTCATTCGTAGTATAAAAAGCACATCGTCCTGTAGTACAGATGGATTATCTATTAAAATTTTCTCAAATCTACCGCATAATGTTTTGGAGGTCATGGTCTCGCTAGTAAATGATTCCCTTGAAAAAGTTACATTCCCTAACTGCCTAAAGACTGCCATCGTCATTATTCTTCATAAAGGTGGAGAAAAATCTGATGCCTGCAACTATAGACCTATTGTCTTGTTACCAGCACTATCAAAAATTATTGAAAGGCTTATAAAAGTTCGACTTATGCCCTTTCTACTTAAATATAATATTTTATCGCAAAATCAGTTCGGCTTTTTGTCTAATAAATGCACTAGTGATGCCATATTTTCTGTGTTACATTATGTATATCTATCACTAAACAGTAACCTCTCCTCCGCCACCGTTTTCTGCGACTATTCCAAAGCCTTTGACTGCGTAAATCACGACATTCTATTAAAAAAATTAACTTTCTATGGAATTCGGGGTGTGTCTTTGAACTGGTTCAAAACTTACTTGGTAAGTAGGAAACAATTGGTTAGAATAAATGACACCGACTCTAGTTGTAAAGATATTGAGTGTGGAGTACCGCAAGGTTCAGTATTAGGTCCCATTCTTTTTTTACTTTTCATTAAGGACATCACTTACTTGAAAATTAAAGGAAAAATTTTTCTATTTGCTGATGATACCAGTATTACTTGGAGCAGCTCTGATATTTCAACGCTTCATTCAATTATAACCGCTGATTTACTTATCTTATATTATACTTATCAAGGCTTGGTCAGACTCCAACTTATTTAGCTTTAACGTGGGGGATAAAGACTGTAGCATTATCTTATAAAGGAGTTATGCAACCCTTGCTTTTGAATGAGAGCCAAATCAATATCGTAAATTCCGTGAAATTTCTAGGTATTCTCATTGACAGTGATCTCAATTGGTCCTGGCATACTGACTCCTTAAGGAAGAAACTAGCCTCAGCTTGCTTTGCAATAAAATCTGTTTCGAAGGACCGAATTTATCTTTATTGTTCGAGTCCCATCTTCGATATGGGCTTCCATTTTGGGGTTCTAGTACAGCGGCCCAATTTGATACTATTTTTACGTTGCAAAAAGAGCAATCCGTTATCTATTTGGTCTTAAACAAACAACTCATTGCAAGACCTACTTAAAAAATCACGGAATTTTGACGCTTCCCTCTTTATTTATTTTGGAAACGGTTTGTTTGATTCGAAAGCATCTAAACATTTTTCCCGATAGACCTGACCATGGCTACTCCATTAGAAATTCGGATTGTAACGTTTATTTGCCGATCTTGTCCACTCAGCTAGTAAAGAATTCTATTCTATATCGTGCAAAGAAACTTTATAATCTCCTTCCAAGAGAAATTAAATCCGCAACATCCTTCATTAAGTTTCGTAAGGTGACAAAAATCTATCTCTCAGAAAGACCATATTATTCAGTTGACAAGTTTCTTAATGTATAACAAAGAAACAAAATTAGTATTGTTTATAATTACATTTGGGTGTCTCAAGCAGTGGCTACAATTTGTCTCATTTGTTGTTGTCTGTACAAATGATGTAGGTCATACAATAATTTTACTAATTTAAAATTGTGTTATTCTGTTTTTTACTATATTTGCTTTTGTTTTACACTTTTTGTACTATTTGACTGATTTATTTTTTAGCTTTGTCCATAAAATTGTTCAATAATTTTCAGTGACAATAAAGCATATTTCTATTCTATTCTATTCTATAGTTTTGGATGTGGTCTTCTATCGTCTATTCAACAGATTTATTAAAAATAAAATCGGTTTGTAAATAATCAAGAAATCAATTACTTTTTTATTTTTGTTAATTAAGTGTCCCAGACTAATTTATCCAGGCTATATTTATTAACAAAATAGAGATTTTTTAAAGGGTCAAAAACTGGTCTATTCCATTTGTAATACATTTTAATACAGCAAAGAAAAAATCATTGCCTAAATATTCATCTCTTAGTTACAACCCTAACTAAATTTTTTTAATAGCACCCTGTACATTTTTTTTCTAGTTTTGAAAAAAGAATAATTTTTTTTATCAAAGAACTTTATTTATGCGAGTACTATTTATTGTTGACAAAAAACAATTTGTGGCTCTTTAAAAACTTTAAAATTTTGTAAATTGTAATTTTTGACTCTTCCGACTTAAAAGGTTGCCGACCCCTGTGATAGACAATTATTTTTCTCATTATAGCATAAAAATACTTTACACTTTTGTTTTTTTTTGTGCATATTTGACACTGTTGGCGATATTTTTATTACTGTCTGCAAAAATCAATATGGCGCTTCATAAGAGGTCAAAGAACGGAGATAAAGGAACTGATAGAACCCAAACATATGGTTATACAAAGATAATGTGATTGACTACCTAGATAAGCTCTATGCAGAGGAAGAACAAACGACCTAGAACCGAAAACATCAGAAATTACCACAAATATAGAACTTAATATATAATATCGAGACGAGTAAGAATGGGATGGGCGTTCGGCAAACTTTCTTACGTTCTAAAAAATCAAACAATTCCTCTATACTTACGAAGCAAGGTATATAACTCCTGTATAATACCGGTGCTCACCTACGGAGCACAGACATCTACATTTACACAGGCCAATTTGGATAGGATAAGGAAGGCACAAAGAGTGATGGAGAGACAAATGTTGGGTGTATCACTTAGAGATAGAAAACGTAACCAGTAGATCAGAACCAGAACAAAGACAGTAGATGCGATAGAACAAGCAGCAAAACTGAAATGGAAATGGGCTGGACACAATGAACGTCTCCAAGACGGACGATGGAACAATGCCATCGGAAAGTGGCGTCCATACAATGCAAAGAGATCAAGAGGCAGACCGCAGATGAGCTGGAAAGATGACATCAGGAAACAAGGAGGTCCCACATGGCAGAGAACAGCTCAAGATAGGGAAAGATGGAGAGAACTGGGGAGACCTATATCCAACAATGGAAGGATAGAGAATAGGTTCAAAAAAATTAATATAAATGTACTGGAAGTTCGGAAAAAACTCGAAGACCTTCCAAAATATAGAAAATGAAGACAAATTGAGAGGACTGAAAATAAATGAAAATACAACAGAATACATAAACGTAAGCAAGAAAAAGAACACACAAATGACAGAACTGACAATAGATGCATACAGTTTCGAAGAGGTTGAAACTTTCAAATATTTGGGAGTACTAGTTAATAGAAAAAATGAAAGTGTACATATAAAAAGAAGAATTCAAGCGTGAAATACAGCGTTTTATAGAAATAAAAAGTGTTTAGAGTTGAGAAGATAAGCCGAAAGACAAAAATAAAAATCTATAAAACGACCATAAGACCAATAGTAGTAAGATTATGCTGCGGAGACATTTACATTAACATCAAGAGAAGAAAGGTAATTGAAAATATTTAAGAGAAAGATTATCAGAAAAATACTGGGACCAAAGAAAGAAAACAAAGGGGACGCAAGACAATGGACGAATTACGAAATACAAGAATGGGTGGGTCAAGAGAAAATAGTTAAAGCAATAAAAGTAAAAAGAATTGGACTGTATTTACATATAATGTTATAATTTATTCTTTTTTGATTTTAGGTAGCTAGACACTTTTACCATAAAGAAATGAAGATAGAGTTAGTAAGAGAAGAACTGTTATTTGATATGGTGCACGTAACATTTCAGTTGACATTTGACAATAGGGCGTTTACTTTAGCGTCGCTGGCAATGACTAGAGAGGAAAAACACCTACCAATTAGTGCTTCAGTATTATTTGAAATTTTTCCATTTTGTATAGTTTTTGGGTAAGTTTTTTTAATAAAAATAATATATACATATTGACAAAAATCTTGAACTCAGAAATTTTTAAAGTAAAGAATACTTTTGCATTACATTTCTTTTTAGTCGACGTGTAAAAAAGATTGTGGGGCAAACAATTTTTATCGACTAAAAGTTATGCTGTTCGTGTAAAATGTCAAAACATACAATTTTTATTAAAATGTCGGTACGATCTTTACATGCTGGGAGGGCCAATATAATCATACAATTTCACAAAATCTTCTGGTCTAAGGCATGCTCCTCCTCCAAACCTCTCGATTCCATAGCTCTTTTAATTCCTTCATTCCTTAAGCGTCGAGCTCTACCTCTTTTTCTACTTCTAAGGGGCTCCATCTGCAAAGTATTTGGGTCCAACGTTTGTCAGGCATTCTTAATAGGTGTCCAAACCATTTTCAACCACTTCTTTCTATTCTGCCAATGACTGTTTCTCTAGCATTCATGTTATTTTTGATAGATTCGTTGGTCTTCTTTTCCAGCCTTGATGTTCTCGCACTTCTCAAATAATCTATTCAAAGCCATAACAAAAAACTGATTCAACTATATTTTTTTTTTGTTTCTTTTGGAATGTAGCGATCCCAACATTAGGAGTTCAGACATCCTACAATTTTAGGTCCCTGGTTAATTCGGTGTTTAAATTCGGTTTCTCTCAAGCCGTTATTATCAATGAGGGCACCTAAATATTTGAATTTTTCCACTTGTTTGATTTCCACGTCCTCGTCTATCAACACTTCAAACCTTGCATCTGAATTGACAACTAAATATTGTTTTCTTTATGCTGACTTGCAATCCCCATTTTACATATTCTCTGTTTAGATGCTTCATCATAAATTCTAGATCATCAGAATCTTGAACTAGGACGACTTGGTCATCCGCAAAGTTCATTTCGTCATTTCCTATGGGGATTCCCATTCCCTGACAGTAGTTTTTCCAGATCGGGTGAACTATAGATTGTATACCTATAGGTATCTACATTAAAATATACTGCGCTCTAACGCCGGGTCCAAACCAAACAGACAAAACAAAAACATTCACGTTTCGCGACAAAGTGGCGAAAAATCGAAAACATTTGTTGAGACATTTCTGAACAATTTTGTTTTGTTTGCAAATTTGAAAACTTTTTCAGGTCCCGTCTCAGGTCGGTAAAGATCAAAAAGTCTGTGTTTTGTCTGTGTATTTGACGACAAGTTGTCGGCGCAGTGTGGACGCGTGTGCGTGCCAAAACGAGTTAAGCAGTAGGAGAAATAGAATGTACAATTTTTATCAAAATTAAGTGTATTTTTCTGTTACTTAGTCTCAACACAAATGTTCACTCAAATCCATCCAACTCCAACCCACAACATTTGTACTCAAATCCACCCAGCACTGACACACAACATTCATACTCAAATCCTCCCAGCATTGACACACGTTCATACTCAACTCCTCCCAGCATTGACACACATTTATACTCAAATCCACCCAGCATTGAACATTTATACTCAAATCCACCCAACACGCAACATTCATACTCAAATCCACCCAGTGCTGACCCACAAAATTATTACTTAAATCCACCAAATACCAACACACAACCTTTATTTTCACATCCACCTAGTATTGACACAGAGCTTTCTCAGTATTCAGATCAAGAAAACGAACGAAATTGATGATGAACTTTTTGAATGTAAAAACAAGTAGACTCGTCATTATTTTGCATGTAGTATGTACCTATCGTCAACTTCTTTTGTATTAAACATTTAACCAATAAATATGGAGTTTATTTTAAGGGATATTAACAAAAAAATAGTAATGAAAAAAGTTTAACATACCTGTACATAACCACTAAGACTGTTAATTAAAGCTTTACATACTTCAGGTATTATTACAGATATTGATTGCTTTGATACTTTTGAAAGATACATTAGGCTGTGGTAGGAATCACCTGTTGCTAAAAATCTTAAAGTGATTGCTAACCTTTCTGTTACACTCATAGCATTTCTAAAGTTAGTATGTCTTTTTGCAACTGCAGGACCAACAAGGCATATTAAATTCTCAAAATCTTCGGTGGACATTCTTAAAAATTTTTGAAGCTTGATCGAATTTCACCACTTAGTCCAATATCATCTGCTCGCAGCTGAACTAACAATTTGTCTATCGAACAACTTTCTCGCATTTTTAGGCTTGGTCTAATCCAAAAACGTTTGGGTTTTCTTTTAGCAACCTGGGATGATGATGAGAGCAAAAAAAAACTTGCGGCTAGCAATAAATCTTCAGTTTCATTTTTTTCTTGATTAAAACGCCACATGGTTAACCAACACTAATCACAACAACAACGTCACCAACTGAATTTGTTTTTATATTTTGTTGTTTTGGTATGGACAGTTTGTCTCAATTTTGTTTTGTCTTTTGACGATAAATTTTGTCGCCGGTTTATCGTGTTTTTGTTTCAGAATTGTGTTTTCGTTTTGTCTGCTTGGTCTGGACCCGGCATAATACTATGTGTAGATGTGTAGAATGTAATTCAAAAGAATAGATATGAATTTTATTATAACATGAATTAAGATTTTTTAAAGATAAAAATATTTTTTCATTAATATAAGACAATAATTTCATAATAATTATTAAAATGAAACACAAGCAAATTATACTTCCCCTCCTCGCTCACTCCCGGAGTTCCACATATCGTTTTTTTTTTTTTTTAATTTTTGGCCTTAACTGCGCATGTTATAATGTTACTAACCATTTTCTTTTTTAGATCAGACATGATAGTAAGAAGTATAGGAAATTCTTTGATGGTGATCATCCCAGATTTAGTAGGAAAAAAAATAACCAACTGGTTTGATCTCGTAAGGCCTTTGATTGCTTTTAAATTTGGATCGGTAAGTAAATAAAAACAAATGTTTGCGATAACATTGAAATGTTCATCGAACGTACGCTTCTACTTTGCTGGCTGACGTGCATCCGAAATGTCCAATTTTCAGCGCATAAAGGTCGATTCAGACACATCAGTCCCGTCACAGTCTCGGCGCCGAACCGGTCCTGTTTGGTCACAGAACTATTAATTATCTGACAGCTGGGAAACTGTTTGTCGCCCTGATGAAATGTGAATGCCGGCGCCATATTTCTATTAAAAGAATATTTTGTATGACGGATTGTTCGGTTCGGCGCCAGGACTGTGATGAGACGTATCTGAATCGACCTTAAATCAGGCTAAATTTGACGGATGGTAGGGTTATGTTAGTTTTGAGGATCGCTGTCATTTGTGGCTAATTCGCATAAAATTGTGCTTTTGTCTCCGTATCCAGTTCACATCATCTTCACATGAGATGATCATATCCTTAAATAGCTTATACATATTGTCCAATGGACTCGTATCATTCAGTTTAAGAGATAAGTTGGTAATCATCGACCTACAGTACTCGTCATTAACGATCATGGTCTGACCAACGTCGTTTTCAAAGAAATTTGGACCGATGACGCCGCCAGGCCAAAATCCACACGAAACAGTAACTGTTTTGGGATGCGTTGAGAATTTTTGGATTGTATTTGGATTAGTATCATCCAAAATTCAACAATTTTGTTTGTTGATCTACCTATTCATCCAAAAATGGGCATCATTACTGATGATTTTAACTGTCAGTGCTATGATCTAGGCGAGGATACCATGCGTTGGTCTCCGTAATAGACGCACCCTTAAAGCCCATTCAGCGAACAGATGTCGTTTTCTACGGTCGTTTTGTTTAGCTCCTGGGACAGTTAAATGTTATTGTTATGTTATTACTTTTTTTACTTGATTAATTGAGCAAATCAAAAACATAACTTATTGTTCCTCAGGGTCAAAAATCTCCTTATATTAACCTCAAAAAATTGGTATTCTTTATTTTATTTAAAGAAAAATAAAACAATTATCAAATTTTGCCGTTATCTTATCAATCAGCGTAAATGAATACAATAAAATTTACACAAAAAGAATATTTTAAGTCTTCTTGAAGACAAAACCAATTTAAAGCCAATTTCAATGAATATCTTTAAAACTTTTTATCTTTCTGATTTTCCAATATTTACTTTATTGCAAAAAACAAAACTTTAAAATATTTTACAAATGAAGTATATTCTTAAGTTAAAATGGTAACGACAATGACGTTCAAAATAATTCATTCACAGTTACAAAATTTTCAATTCTGAACAGAAAATCACTGACCTTTCCTTCGTAGATTGTATTGGGACCATGCCCAGAATCGTCAATGTGATCTGCCACTATTCGCCTCGGCTCTCTTCTTGTCGTATCTGCAATCCTCTGCAGCCACTGTACGAAACGCCTGACTCAATTTTTCAACAATTAAAACTTGAAATTTAATTCTCCAAACACCCAGCTACTTCTCAATAACACAAGGACCTCTTTCTGTCAACTTGGTGCCGCCAAACTATTTCCTACGTATTCCAGAAACTGTCCACTTTAGATCCAAGGATATCTTTTTATCGGCTTGTCATCTCCTTTCACCATTCTGCTAACTTCCTTTTACAATGCCGGTATCTAAACTCACGAACACACCCTCTATCGAGACGCGACCTTTCTTTTTGATGATTAAATGACAACTGCCCACTCTCTCTCATACATCGATCATCAATTCTCCCATTCAAAAAAAAAACTGTCCAATCAAAAAGCTTTATTTTGTTTACAATCATTAAGAAAAAACCCTATTATTGTTTTCAGAGAAACTAAAATTTTTGCTTCAAAACTGGCTTTCCCTTTGGTTACAAATACATAATTAATTCCTATAAAAAAAGGTTAATTACAATATCTTAATCCTAGGTTATATACAAACAATGAAAAGATTATAAAATGAGTATGGGCTTCCTAATTCTATATAAAAAGATTTTACCTGCGAGTGTTTAAAAATCAGTTGTTGATAGGCAAAACTTTCTGTTAATCTAATATTATCTTAATCTAATACATAAATTGTGTTTACCAGGATGTCTTGAAAATTTATTTAAATGGTCTATTTATTATTTTTTATTTTTGTTCTTTGGCTGAGAAGAAGAAGTGAACTAGACAGGTGATAATATACAATCCAAAGGTCTAATGTGAAAAAGAAACAGAACACGGTGATAACTGAAGACAAAGCATGAAAGCCTCATTTCCTAATATGAATAGATAACGGGCTACAGCTTAGTTAGCTTCTTGTTTTTAAGAACCGTGCCTTTTACAAACGTCCGATAAAACCGGAAATTGTAAAAATTTCTTAGTATTTTAGATTAATTGAATTCTGATTAATAATTTTAGATACTCAATAGGACAAACAATATTTTTGAACTGGTGACCGTTGAGCCTATATTGAATGATAAACCATCAGGTCGAAGAGGCCACGAGTTGCTACTTAGTGATGAAATGGAAGTATCCGAAGACAAAAATCTAAGATTAAAAGGTAAAATAGAGTAGGTTGGTGTGATTTAATTTGTAGTAATGTTTGGTTTTAAAACGTCACCAATTTGTTATTTTTTTAAATATCTATTTTATGTCAATTTCTTTTGATTCTATTCATTTATAAACTTTGTGTTTTATTTTACTATTTTTATTATAAACTAGCGGACCCGACAGACGTTGTTCTGTCAAATAGATTTGAAATGTGGCAGTTTATTTCTTGAATTCTCCTGAACACAACCGTCACCATAATGATAGGGTGGTGTGTGAGGTCAGCTCGGGTGACCTAAGTATGTTCGCCTCGACAAACTTTCGCCACCCTTTTGGACCCACTAAAAACCACGACTGGGATGTCTGCCAGAGGGCTCCATAATAAGGGAGCAACTCTTAAGTCAAACCTGATTGAAAAATAATCTAAAGGGATAGTGAAAACCTAAACATGACAAATATTTATAAAGTGGGTGCTTCCATAACAAAACATAGAGATAATTAATTATTTATTATTATTATTATTAACATAGGCTTCCTGTAATATATCCTGTATATATCCATACCCTGTTCATCCCACCACTGGGATGAATAGGATTAAACTAAGGTTTTGGTTCATAAACGCATTTTTATTTGTAACGAATTGTCATGGGTTTTTTTATATATTGAACTCTGTCTTGTATGGGACATCCCAAATAACCACCAGATGTACCACATATGTAACAAGTTACAGTACTGTAGCTGCTGCCATAACGTTATACAGTGCGTTAAGTTTTTGATTAGGTGTTGTACACTATACGGAGCGCTGAAATCGGCAACGTTGCAAATGTTCGTTCTCCGACCCGAGACTATCTCCACCGACAGAAAATCATTTTAGTTTAGTAACTCACAACAACGTTTGGGATGTACTTTTCTGTCGTCCGATCTCATGTTTCATTACGTATAGCCGATTTTAATAGTAGGAAATTCGATAAAAATGCACTGACCTAATCGGTGCATTGTTATCGATTTTTATTAATGTGAAAATTTTTTTGTGGTTGAATTAAAAATAAAAGCGTATTTCTTTAAAAAGATAAAATAAAAAATATACTCTTATTGAAAATTAAAATATTATTTCTAATAAAAATAAAAAATAATTCTTTATGACCTACAGAAATGGGTCGAATAGTTGATCTTCTACGGCTGAACAGTACCCCAATCTGTCATAAAAACTTCTGCGAACAGGTGAAAGAGTTTCTGCTGTAACAGAATTGGAGACTGGAGATTATTCGATTTTTTAATTCATCCAAATTTTGGGCTCTAGCCTCAAATCAAGGTATACTCTACTATTTAAGTTGCCCTCAATAAAAATGGACCTATTATGTGGTCTCCTAAAATGCCAGTCCAGACATTAACTTTTTGAGGACGTTGAGTTCGGTAAACAACATTTCTGTGCTAGTTTTCCCGCACCCAATACCTCGTAATGGAAGGATTGTGTCTCCTACTAACGAAACAGAAGATTCATCAGTGAATAAAATGTTTTTAATAAAATTTGGTTCACTATTAGCCTTCGTTATTAGAGTTTCACAAAACTCCATTCTTCGAAAGTAATCGTCTGGATAAAGCTGCTGAGTTTTCGAATATTTAAAATTCTTGTAACCGTGCTCTTTCCATACTTTCGTTACAGTAACATTGCTAACATCTAACTCTCTAGCAACGCTTCTACTTAAACGTGTTGAATCTACCTCGATTGTTGCACACATTTGTGTATCCCGGTATTCTCTTTCCTCAACTTTTTCTGGTAACACTTCTTGAGCGTGACATTTTCTGCAATTTTTGAGGCAATAACAACTCTCAAAATTTTTAACAATATTATAAATTGACTGTACACAAGGAATTGGTCTTCCTTCAAAAAACACAGAAAATAAATCTACACACTGTTGCGCAGAATTGCCACTATAAAACCATTTTATTATTTGAGCTTTTTCCGCGGCCATATAAACAGACATGTTTACAAAAATAAATTAAAACTCTACGCTGTTAGCCTTTAAAACAACTACGGTATAATGACAATATGACAAATTTGCCGACGGGCGACGAGCAACGACGAGTCAACGAAGCAGATAATGTAGTAGCAAGTCGACGACGCGCAGTGTTACCATTTATAGAGTGTATACCTAATCCAAAACTTAACGTACTGTACCTACACATTAATTGCTCTAAGATTTATATTCATTTGCTCCTACTATACCGATTAAGAACCTTCCTGCATTGTTGTCCTTAGGAATAACAGTTCCCGTCATATAAAACTGATACACTTTTTTTTCCCAATGTAAACCTGTGTTCAGACTTGGTTCGTGAATTAATTCGTTGTTGCCATCACAGATAACGGAATTATACTAAATCTAAATAAAAAAAACTTTCAAAAAGTTTTTTTTATAGGTATTATTATTATCAATAACAACAAAAAACTATATTTAATAAATTTATTAACTGGAGAGAGGGTTGCGTTAATGCCCAAAATGTTTAAAGTATCTTTAAGCGTAGAGTATTGGCACAAGGAATATTGGAATGCATCTACTGTAATTTTATAATGTCTGTCGCACAGCCCTCCTTTTAGCTGATTTGATACAATATTTCCTTGAACTGGCAAAGTTGCCATAGAAATTAGAATGACATATGTGACAAGATCAACTTACACAACTTGAAAAACACCAGTTGTACCAGTTTTTTATGCCGCGAAGGGTACCTAACTTGGCACAATGTAACCATTTACTAATATAATAAAATAAATCTAATTTTAATGTATTTTATATTTTTTAGATTGTGTAATTGAATTAATAGTATTAGTAAATAAAAATCAATTTTTTTAGGACAGATGATATACATGGACAACTGGAAAATGATGATGTATTTAGGAACTCCTGTAATGCCAGATTTGAATTCTTTAATACATTCTGGACTGTATATAAATGATCTCTCGATGCACGATTTTAGCAGGTTAGTTAACAAACTGTAACCGCACAATCATCTTTCAAGTACTTAGTTCCTATTTTTATCCCCTGAATGAGGCGATGATATACACAGCACTTGGTACGTCTGAGAAAAAAGTAGAAGAGCAGCATAAAAAAGTTAAATGGAATGAGTAAATTAAGAAATAAAGAAAATTTCAAAATGAATGAAGTTATCGGTTAGTGATCGGAAGATGCAACATATTAATGCTCAGTAGTTTGGCATATATTAGCATTGTTCCTATTTTTATCCCCTGAGTGAACAAAATTTCAGCGATGGTATGCAAGTAATACTGCCATGTACAATCTGCTGTCCTTCATACGATGACGCAAACTGTTTTTAATTTAATGACATTAACCATAAACCAGCTGATAAAATTTTCTGCTCAACTCCATTTGGCCATGTATATTCTATCGACTGCATCCGTAACCCCTGTTCTTCTTCTTAGATGTAGGTTTCGTACTTTATCTACTCTATCGTATATTTTTTGTTCGTCAGAGTTAGTGCTTTTTCACCATATGTAAGAATGGGTAGAGTAGAACATCATCATCATCATCATCCAGCCTCTATTTATCACGTCCACTGCTGGACATAGGCCTCCCTTAAACTCCTCCATTCCTCACGATTTTGTGCTCTTTGTTGCCAATTTTTAGTGATACGTCTGATGTCGTCGGCCCAACGTGTAGGTGGTCTTCCTCTACTGCGTTTGTCTGCTCTTGGCCTCCAATTTGTAATTTTGCTCGTCCATCGTGAATCGTGCATTCTCGCTACACATGGCCTGCCCAGTTCAATTTTAGTTCCGCTATGCGTTCCACAACATCAGTAATACTCGTCCTTCTTCGCAGATCTTCGTTTCTTATTCGGTCCCTCAACGTCACTCCCAGCATAGACCGTTCCATTCGTCTCTGTGCCACTCTCAGTTTCGAAGCCGTGGTCTTGGTTAAAGTCATAGTTTCCGCCCCATAGGTCATGACCGGTAATACGCATTGGTCAAACACTTTTCTTTTGAGGCTGATTGGTATGTTGGCCCTAAGTGTGTCTCGCAGTTTTCCAAAGGCTGCCCATGTTAAAGCAATTCGTCTTTGGATCTCACATGTTTGGTTATCCCTGCTGATTCTTATTTCATGACCCAAATACGTATATTTCTCCACCAGTTCTACCACTTTGTCTTGAATAGTCAAATGGTTATTGGGGACCAAATTTGTCATAAACTTAGTTTTGGTCAAGTTCATTCTCAGGCCCACCTTCGAACATGCAAAATCCAATTCGTTTATCATATCTGTAGCTTCTCCTAAATTATCTGTGATAAGGACAATGTCATCTGCGAAACGGAGATGGTTAAGCTTTTCGCCGTCTATCGTTACTCCTCTGTGGTCCCAATTGATCATCTTAAAGGCATATTCTAATGCCGTTATGAATAATTTCGGCGACAATGTATCTCCTTGCCTTATTCCACGATTTATTTTTATTGGTCGGGTTTTATTGTCTATTTTAACAGTCATAGTGGCATTTTTGTAAATATTATAAATAAGCTCACTATACCTATGGTCAATCCTGCTGTCATTCATTGCTTCTATAAGGCTGTCTAACTCGATCGTGTCGAACGCTTTATGAAAATCTATGAAAGTGAGAACAAGAGGTTTGTTATATTCTATAGATTTTTCAATGAGTGTTTTTACTGTGTGGAGGTGATCATTGGTACCAGAGTAGAACACATTGCTTTAAAATCTTTCTGGCTGTCAGATTGTTTCGGCTGAGCGAATCTCATGCCCCAAATATTTGTAAGCTGTCGAGACATGGACTACGATACTTCGTAGAATGTTTCGTGAAAAAGTAGTAGAGGAACAATAGAGAAGACGAACCTAATGCAGAAGTGTACCAATTGTATGCTTATTCCACAATAACAAAAGTGGTGAAGAAACGTATACTAGAATGGCTCGGATATCTAGAAAGAATGAAAGGTAATACACTAGTCAAGAATATTGCTTGGATAGTACTTGAGGGCAAAAAAAAGGAAGACTAAGAAAGAAATGGACAGATGTAGTGATGAAAGATGTCAGAAAGATGGGAATCAGAATTTGAAAGCTGATAGCTAAGAACAGAAGACGATGGAAATTATTCATCCAGAAATGGGCCTAAAAGACCTGTTAACGTAATATATACATACAAGATTCTTTATCGTTACAATGCATTATTATAATTATATAGGAAATTTTAGCTTTATGCACGTGTATTTTTCTGTTTAGGGACCTGATGTTAGCTGGTACTCAACAGTCAGTAGAACTTAAGTTAGCTTTAGATCAAGAACAATTAAAAAGTAAGAAATTAGAGGAGTCAATGCGGAAATTGGACGAAGAAATGACAAGAACGGATGAATTGTTATATCAGATGATTCCCAAGCAAGTAGCTGATCGGTTACGGAAAGGGGAAAATCCTATAGATACATGTGAGGTAAGATTTTTCTTTAAGCAATATAAATTATTAATAAAGGAAGTAAAATATAACATAACATTGGTGATTACTAGCACTTACTTATTTAATTTTATACTTTTATTTTAGATGTTCGATAGTGTTTCGATACTTTTCTCAGACGTCGTGACATTTACTGAAATATGTAGCAGAATTACTCCTATGGAAGTAGTATCAATGCTCAACGGGATGTACTCCATTTTCGACAAATTAACAGAAAGAAACAGTGTGTATAAAGTAAGTCAGTAAATCAAAGTCAGTTGCTATAAAGCTGTTAAGGCTTCTTCTTCTTCTTCAAGTTCCGCTCCTATCGGAGATTGGAAATCATTCTGGCAATTATAATTTTGTTGGTTATGCGCCTGAATAGTTCAATTGAACTGCATCCAAATCATTCACGGAGATTGCGTAGAAACGAGATTTTACGTCTTCCTACGCTGCTTCTGCCTTTGATTTTACCCTGCATCATATTCCTTAGTAGTTCGTATTTTTCACCTCTCATGATGTGCTCTAAGTATTCCAATTTCCTGATTTTTATGGAATTTAAAACTTTGCATTGTTTTCCTAGTTGTTCGAGAACTTGTTCGTTTGTTTTGCGATCCATCCATAATATTTTCAAAATACGTCGGTAACACCACATTTCGAATGCTTCTAGGTTTTTAATGTTGGATTTTTTAAGTGTCCAAGCTTCAACCCCATACAAAAGGTAGAGAAAATATAACATCGAAGCATTCTTATCTAGAGCGATATATTGATATCGCGATTACCAAATTGTTTTCTCATTCTATTAAAAGTTGACCCTGCAATTTCAATGCGGCATCTTATTTCTTTTGTCTGATCAGTATCTTCTGTGATCCATGCTCCAAGGTATTTATACGAAGATATTTGTTTAATTTCTGTATTATCTAGTACTAGCTTAACTTTGATGTTTTGTGCTTTTGTAAATACCATGAACTTGGTTTTCTTCAAATTTATTTTTAGTCCATAATCGCTGCAATATATATGTAGTTGTTTAGCAAGGTGTTGCAGTTCTTCTAGTGTTCCTGCCAGAAGGACGGTGTCGTCAGCATATCTTATGCTACTAAGTGGCTCACCGTTTTTTATAAGGCCCTCACTGACCTCGGCAAACGCTAATTCTGAGATGGCTTCACTGTAGAAATTGAATAACAAGGATGATAAAGTACACCCTTGGCGGACCACACGGCGAATCTGGATATCCTCGGTCAGTTCGTTTTCAAGTTTCACTTTTGCTGTTTGGTTCTAATTGAGGTTACACATGATGCTAATGTCTCTACTGTCTATGTTTTTCGTTAATGAAATTTCTTTAAGCCGATTATGCTGCACTCTGTCAAATGCCTTCTCAAAATCAATGAACAGGTATACTTCCTATTTATATCTAAGCATCTCTGCGAAAGAATAGCACATGCATCTCGTGTTCCCAGTCCTTTCCTAAATCCCATTTGTGTATTACTTAGAGATCTAATTTCTTATGTACTCTATTGTGAATTACTTTTAAAAACAATTTCAAGACATGACTCATTAAGGCTATGGTGCGATGTTCATTGCACTCCTTTGCATTGGCTTTTTTGGGAAGCAGTATGAATGTTGATTGAAGCCATTCTTTAGGTATTATACCTGTTCTATATATGGTATTGAATAGATCCAAAAGAAGATCAATAGATTCAGTATTCACAATTTTGAGTAATTCGATAGGAACTTCATCAGGCCCGGGAGATTTACCAATTTTAGCTTGTTTCATTGCATATTCAATTTCTTCTGGTATAATGTCAGGCCCAGTATCATCCTTAAATTCTTTTGGTGCTATATATTGTGTCCATCTCTGCATTTTTTGGTTTATATCTATTATAAGTGCACCACTTTCATCTCTTAGTTGCCCCAGTTTGAAGTGTTTTTCTCATACCTGTTAAATCTCTAATTCTTTTATGCATGCTAAAAAAGTCATATTTTTTCTCAATTTCTTCTAGTTCTTAGCACTGCTCAATGCTCATGTAACATTCTCTCCTATGCTTCTTTTATTCTCTTTTTAATTAATCGATCAGTTTCATTATATTTAATTGAAGATTTGAAGAATTGATTTCCTAGACAATATTCCCCCACATATCCATACACTCTTCCCTGGCCAACTTTGGCATTGAAGTCGCCCATTACTATTGTAGTGTGATGGTTCTTCATTGATTTTATGACTTGTTCCAAATCATGGTAAAATAGTTCGAAGTTAGTAGACACTGCTTCTATCTTTTGATTTGTATGCAGAACTATAGTATTGAGAATTTCATCTGTAAAAAATGTATTCCATATATCAACAAGATATTTTAAATGTTGAAGATTACGAGGCACTCCTGGTAAAACTTTTATTTTCGCTTCTGGTTTTTACTTTCTTGTTTTTATGCGCACAATGTTTTTTCCACTTTGTAACTTTATCTTTACCGACAAAAAAATTTCATTGCCGTCAATAATTTTACATGTCTCTTCGTACTCCATTTCATCCTGCGTCACTTTCAACTTCTTCCATGAGCTTTCGAAGCCGGTTCTGTTCTTTTTCATAATCACACATCATCGGTACAAAAAAATAATATTCAGTTTTAGGGCAAGTGTTATAAAATATTTAATTATTTTACCTGATTTTTTAAATTCTTCGTATTCAAATAAATATAACTTTAGTAGATGCGTCGGACTCACGCTCCGAAAATGATAATATATCTCATACGACTGAACGCTGAACTGTATCCTTCGAGACTAATGCACACTGAAACAATTCTAACAGATACTTTTAAAAGCTAGACTGAGTGCTGTCTAATAATAAAAGTTATGGGTGCATAACATATGGGCCGGACTTACAGTCCGGGCACCTCTACTGCAGGGTTAAAGTAGTAAACGTTTGTAATTTCGAATATTTTAGATGTATTTTTTGCCATATTGTTCACTAATTCGTTTCCAATTACTTCATTGTGTCCTTTAACCCAAAGTAAAGTATTTTTTTTGTGAATTGAAGTTCATGTAATAATTTTTTTATATCAAGTATAATGGAGTTTTGAAAACTATCTAATTGATGGCTACGAATAGCTTGTAATACTGCCTGAGAATCTAATACTATTACGATGTTTTCACAATAAATAGTGACACACCAAGTTAGTGCTTTCAGTACAGCAGCAGCCTCGGCTGTAAAAATAGAACATCATTCGGGAATTCGATATTTCTCTACAAAAAAGAGAATGTGTATTTGAATAATATAATGTATATGATATTACTACTTCCAGGTAGAAACCATTGGCGATGCATATATGGTTGTAAGTGGTGCGCCAGAAAAAGAAGGTAATCATGCCGAAAGGGTTTGTGATATGGCGATGGATATGGTAGAAGCAATTACTAATCTGAAGGATCCTTCAACAGGTATGTAATTTTCACAAATAATATGTCTGATTTAATTCTATATTGATTGTATTTACCATTTTTAGAAACTTATAGTAGTTACAACTGTACTAGTTTAAGGTATTTTCAAAAATTTCGAAATGGCTCAACAAACTTAAGCTTTACAGTGTATTGGTTTTACAAACAATAGACATATTGGTTTTAGTATGTTTGTAGTTCAGTTTGTAGAGTTTAGGTCTCTAAACCATATCGCACTAATAGTACAATAGTGTCGTAACTCAAAAAAGATGATTTTTCAGAATCAACGAAAAACTTATTAATCATTTTCTATTGCAGGTAAACAAAAAATTAATTCATAATATGTTTCGAATTATTAATAAAGGAAGGTTCTTTGTACTATTATTTAAATAAAAAAACTGACAGTGAAGGTATTTAAAAATTTTGAGTTAACACTATATTGCTCTAAGCAAAATGTTCGAAATGAAATATTATTTTGAGTTATGACATTATTTATGAAATATTTTGTGTTACTACAATTTGATTTACTATTTTTTTCTGCGATTTACGTTAGTTTTTGGACTTACAACAATTTTAGGAAATGATTCTTGGTATTTGTTAACATTGAATCTAAAGGAACTGTATTACACGTTAACTATTATTACCGAGAATTGTTGTTTTTGATATTAATAAATAAATCAAGACTGTTTTAATTGCGTTTATCTTATAAGCAAACAAATACAGATACAGATAACAAAATACAGTATTCTCAAACATTTTGTACTTAATCAATATATTTACGTTGTTTGCCATGTTTTCCGCGTATTAAGCCACACTTTGGATAGGGCTGTAGCAATAGGTCGATCGTTTATAGCTAGAGTATTTTCAAAAAATGTTTTGCTAACTTTAACTTGATCATTGTTAACTGTAAAATTAAATCCAGTGCGTAGTTTGCGAAAATTTCTACTCTTCAGTGGAAATAACGACGGTGAAGAGAATTCCTGCTTGCAATTCTCAGCATTTGTTCACAAAGCAACAAGTAATCGCTCAGGACTCATAAGTATTGAACCTGAAAGTGAATCAAGTAATATTATTGTATTAAGTATACAAGTACTTGACGCAAGAATGTCACAAAGAGTGTAGTAACTCTAAATTTATAAAATAAAATAGTTGGTAAGCTTCCCAAATAACACTGCTACACATTTTAAATGAATTATTACTATCCGGTGATCGACAAATAGATCATGATTAATAAATGTTTTACAAACAACAATAAAAATGATTTAAAGTTGTGATTCAACAATAATGTAATATGTCAAAAATAATGAACTGAACCTATAATAGTGTCGTTAGTGAAGATATTAATTTAAAAAGTGCTGGTGGAAATCAGTACTAGTGTAATAATTTGAAAAACAGCAATGTTATGGTTAGATTCTAATCAACAAGAATGTAATAACTCGAAATATAGCTATGAGAATTACATCGAATTACAAACTCGAAATGATGAACAAAGCAACACGTGCGTTCCCGATCACTGTTGGTCGCAACTAAAGATGACGCGATATTGTGAGGGGGTGACGACAGTCGGTCAGTCATGAATAACGTCTTATGTCGCCATCCCTTATTCATTTATTGCACTATTAAAATGACAGTTTTATTGACTTTTTTTTGTTTAAATGGCATATGCAAATGCCATACAGCAAGTCACAACATAAAAATATTCTACCCAGAAAGAAGATTGTGTAGTACAATATAAAAAGATAATATAAAATCCAAACTTAAGTAGCATTACAATTTTAAGCATTAAAATTATTATTAAGGATAGGATAGGGATAAAACATGGACACTGTTTCTCGTCTAGGGACCCATCAAGACATTGCTTTTAAGACAAACTAGATTAGGTCACGGATAAAAGGTAATAATGAATGGGGTATAACAGAGGTTAGGATTCTAATTACAGTTCAATATTAAGCTTACTTCTGCAAATAAATTCCATCAAACATTCATTTACAACTCTTATATTTAGAGATAGCAGATAGCACATATTGTACGGAGGAAAAATTTTGATGGTAACTAAATTTTTTATTAGATCTTCAGTTTGTTTTGTGTATTTTTTACATTAGAAGAAAATGTGATTTAGATCACCTTCTTTTTGACAGTCTGGACATAAATTTGAATTTACTATTTTTAGTTTGGACAGATGACTAGGATAGCAGGCGTTTCCAAATTTTATTATGGATGTTTATTGACTTACAGGGAATTGAATTTTACGTATGGATATAGTGTTATGTTAATTTCGGAACATTTTGAGTTGCGACACTATTGTATTATTAGTGCGGTATGTCAGGACTGGGCGTATTATTGTTTTGTAGAGTTTTATTTTTATATTTAAGGATTTAAGGAGGAGAGGAGGTGCAAATTCTGCTGATCTCTGTGGTATTATTATTTTCAGTGTTAAGGAGCGCTATCTCGTTTTCTATATATAAGTGGTGGTAGAATTTGTGGTTGCGTGCTTATTTTCATATTACTTACCTATAGCATATATTTCATATATTCATACATGAATGAAGTAATAGTTTGTGTATTTAGATTTTTTTGTATTGTAGGTCAACATCTCCGTATTCGTGTTGGAGTCCATTCAGGAGCAGTAGTTGCAGGAATAGTTGGTTTAAAAATGCCAAGATACTGTCTATTTGGTGATAGCGTTAATACAGCCTCAAGAATGGAATCGACGAGTGAAGCTATGAAAGTGCACATATCTCAATACACGAGGGAACTTTTACCGTCTAGTTATAAAGTAACCGAAAGGGGAGAAATACAAATAAAAGGAAAAGGTAGTGACATCACCGAAATTAAACATTTATTTATGAATTTTGTAAATTTTATGAAATGTTCGGTGTCTTCTGTATTTTATACAAACAGTTAAAGCCAACTTATAATTATATATTTCATGTATGCTAAACAAGAATTATCTTTTTTGTGGTCATTTTTTAGATAAATGTTTTAAAATCATTTTTTTGTCGACTTGGTTATAGATAAAACGCATAAGTGGAGGAATTCTGGTAGTTTTTTCTACTAATCAGTAAGATGTAATGCGTACCATTACACTAAAAACGTGATAAGTCTTATGCGTCTTCACCAAAAACATTTATACGAATTCTACACTCCAGGCTACGCTTTATCGCCTTATAAACAATGTGTTCTGGGAAAGGGCAGATGGAAGAAGGTCTGTAGGGCGGCCTAGAAAAAGGTGGAAAGATACAGTCAGAGAAGATATAGAGAAGATGGGAGTGCGACAATGGGAATTACTGGCGCAGGACCGACAAACAAGGTAATAGTAAACGTGGCAAAGACTCATGAAGAGTTGTAGCTCCATTGATGATGATGATGATGATGCTGAGGCTACGGATAAAGATAGATGAAAACATAAGTGGAAGACAATTTAGTTTAAAAATATGTATTGTCACCAAAGATACTTTATCCACGCTGCAACTATTGATAAAAAAAAGTCTCATTTACCAGAGATTGTCTTCGCATGTTTTGTAGATGATGAGAAGGCATTCGATAACGTAAAGCACAACAAAATTATAAATTTGCTCAAACATCAAAGGAGTGACACAGGGATGTACACTGTAATTACTCCTGTTCAAGTTATATTTACAATCCACTTTCCAAGAGACTTTAGACCAGTGATTCTCAACCTTTGGATATGCTTCTGTAGAAGGCGCACTACTACTAACAAAGGGGTGTAAGCGTAACATTATCTAATTTAGTACCATCAAAATAAAACAAAATTCTGACAAAATAAAAAAAAAATACACATGAACACTGGCATAATAGGTACACTTATAAAGAGCACTATATTATTACAGTATTTAATTTTTAGGAACAATGAAAACCTACTGGTTAGAAGAAAAGGAATATTGGTCGCCTAGTACAAGAACGGAAAATTCCGAACCAGAGACAAGGACCGCTCTTAAACCAATACATCAAAGTAACTCAATAGGAGCGGTACAGGATATTGCTCGAGCGGCATTGTACTCACCAATAACATTTAAAGATGTAGCTAGAAGAAGTATAACCAGCTCGCCTATTAAAGCGAAAGGTAAGTAATATACATCTCAAGCACGTAAGTAAATATTTCAAATGAGTACTGACAATTTGTTATAAGTAAGCAAATATCTACAAATATCAAAATGTTTACTTATCTTATCACCATCAGGTCTTTACAATTTTTTCACGATTTCCCTCCATCCTTCTCCGTCCCGAACTAGTTGTTCGGCGTCATGTAACCATTGGTTAAACAATATTTTTGTTTGATCTACTCAACGGCTTCCCCTAGGTCTCTTTCCTTCAACTCTACCCTTGACTATCAGTTTCTCCATCGTACCTGTTCTTTTAGCAATGTGTCCAAAATACTGCATATATCTCTGTTGTATTTGTTTAAGCCATCTATCATTTACTTTGTTCTAATATTGATGCGTTGGTGCGCATCGGTATGCTAGAATTTTTCCAAATTGCTACCAGTTTCATCATAGCCGTTCTAGTAACAGTCAATCTAGGAAATGTGAATGGCCGTTCTGAAGAGCCCTATTAGGGTGAAATACATATAAGCGGATGCACAGATGTACTATAAGTAAAATCAAATCTTAACTGTCTTTTCCTTTTATTCCGATGTACTCTATATGAGTACTAGAAACCAATTCGCTAAGGATTTTTGCTTAGTTGAAGAAGTATGTTATGGAATGCAAATTTTAGATTCCCCATGTCTCTAATAACATCTTTATCAACGTCTGTTTTGCCTTGCAATTCTTAAAAAGCACAGAATAAAGCAAAAATCTGAATTTGGTTTAGAAAATTAGTTTACGGATTTAATATCAGATGTCACCATTTGCGTCCATTCGAAGCCATGTTAGAGTTGCTTCCTAAGACAGAAGAGATTTATTTTCACGTTCAGAGTAGGAATAAGAAAAACCTACCGCTTTTAAACGAAAACCGTTTTTTTTTTACTACGCAATAATCGGTTTTATTTGATGTTTTTTTGTCCCAGTTATAACCGGATTTTTATTTTTAAAGTACATCGGAACTTTTTTGCATAGAGGTGGTCAGGAAGCATCTTCATCTGATTCTGAGGCGAGTGTGAGCTCTACTTCATTTTAGACATATTAAATTTAGTTGTCACAGATGGCCTAGAAGATATAAACAATGTAGCATTAAAAAATGTAATGAACTAAATAAAAGCCATAGTCACTTTCGCTAGGCACAGCAATCTTTTCATGGAAAGGTTACGAATGGAGCAGGAACGGGAGGGCAAGTCAGAGGGCGAAGTGAAGCTTTTGGTATAATCCGTACCAACCAGATGGAATTCTGTCTACCATATGCTTAAAAGAATCATACTATATACCTATATACCTATACTATATACTATATACCATACATATTATCCCCCTTGTGTCTATTTTTGAAAGATCTTTAAAAAACCTCAAGCCAAACCTGAATACATCCCAAAAGTTATGCCAAAAGCTTATAACTAGTCTTCAAGAGAGGGGCACTAAGCTTTTACGAAACCCCCTGCTTTGCCTTGCTACAATTACGGACCCGAGATTCAAAACACTATATCTGAATCCGTCTATAGCGGAGACAGTCACATCCAATTTAGGCTCGGAAGTTAGGACGTACCTTACCGAAATCGGAAAACTTTCTCCTTCCTGCTCCTTCCAGAATAAAGAAGTCAAAGTGAGTTTAAAATCGAAACCCTCTTTGGTCTTCACACGATCTAGAGTCGGTGAACAATGGTTCCAGTTCAAGTTCTCAGGACACACGGATTTAAAATTCTTTTCCAAAGTTACTACTATATATCTGCAGCAGCCTTTGCTGCCGAGATTAAGTGATCCGTCTTCATTCTGGGAGCAGAACACAACCTGTATGCCAGGCTTGGCTTTTATAGCTAAAAAATACATGTCGTTGGTCGAAAGTTCGGTGGCATCAGAGAGACTGGTGTCATCATTGAACGATATTGTATCAGATGACAGAAGCCGCTTAACCGACCAAATATATGAACGAGTTTTTCTCAATAGGCTTCATGAAAAATACTGGCCAATATAATTTTAAATCCATTTCATAGACTAGAACCTATTTGTAACCTTCTAAGCTATACTTTTTTACTTAAAATATTACTTCATTCTACTTATATTATATTTTAATCTTACGGTATATTATATTAAATGATAATGATTAAAATAAAATCAATAACATAATAAATAAATATAATAATTAATAGAATAAAATGGTTTTATAAAACATTGTGTCTTATTTATATTAATATTGATGTTCTTTCGATAATACTAATTTTGATCATATTGATATAAAGTTGAATGAAGTATCGCAAACCAAAGTGCATTGTAAATGTAACTTCGTACATATTGGATTAAAAAAACCGAAAATCGGTTTTTGGAAAATTTGGCCGGTTATAACCGCCAGGTTAAACCATAAGCAAAAAAACCGGTATTGTAACGACCATATTGTTTACCACAGGGTAAGAATATGGGGGGACAAGATTGGGCAAACAAAATAATCGAAACGGCATACGGCACTCAGTTGGTTGTTGGAGAGCTGGGTCGTGGATAAGTTGAAATATTGGGGGTTGAATTGGGGCAACTACAAAAAAAATAAATAAAGGGGTACTTATACAAATCTTTTGGGACAAACAGAATGAAAATAAACGGAAACACCTCAAGAAATTTAATATAGGGCGCCACTTGAGGTGCCTAATTATACCTATTACAACCACTAGTTGTAACTAGGGAAATAATTATAGAACATCAAAAATATAGAAAAAAAATATCTTTTTCAAATAAAACTCAAAATAGATCAGAGAAACAAATTAAACATTTATTTTTGTCTCTAACAAACAGTTATCAAAATTATGGGTTACAAAACAAACATACTATATCATAAAACAAAATAAACAAAACTTACATGTCTTAGTTTACATCAAAGATTGTTACAAAAATTCAAATGGTTTCTATATTATGGCCAATTAGATTATCAAAAATTAAGGATCCTTGTTAATGAAAACATATAAATTTAACCTTATATATGAAATATCGTTTCTACATAATAATCAAATTAAAATTGTCATAACAAAAAAAAAAACAAATTAAAGCTTGCTGTCAGGTATCACATTTAATTTTGATGACAAAGAACAAAAGTATTAATAGCATAACCATACATATTACAATTTTTTAATTTGTTATGAAAGCAATTATTACTTTAGCGAAAAAATATCTGTCTTTACTTTAAAAAATTAATATATTGAATTATTACCTTAATGTTTTTTTTATACAAACACTTTGAAACTTTACATCTCTGGGGAAGCTACTCGGACAAAACTTTCAAACCTGGAAGTCAGCAACCATCAGGAACTAGTTCTACACTCCAGGGCAAAACGATTGGAACAGGAACTTGGTGAAAGAATCAAGCCGACTACGGGGACATCCTATATCATACTTCTTAGAAGCTTCCGGTATTTATTCAAATCTGATAGTATTATCATTGACCGGTCCTAAGACATTTCAAAAGAAATTGAATCCTCTTTGATTCAAAAATGGCCCAACATTTCACACCCGCAAAAAGCGTCTACCACCGTTTCAAATAGGTTCTTGGACTCACATTGTAGCACGTCTGCTCTGCTTCAAATCTAATCGTCGACTCAGTTTCAAATCTTTTACTCAATTGTCACATGTCTGCCCCGTTTCTAATCAAATCTTAGACTCTACATTGTAGCACGTCTGCCCTGCTTGTAACTTAAATCTCGACTCCTTTTCCGCGTTAAATTTTACAAATTCAAAGCCAAAATAAATTCCCTTCCGTCTTGCAGCTAGCCTGTAGTCATCAAACTTAAAACAAACAATCTTCCCCTTGTTATTCGTTCCTAACAATGAAAGACAAATAAAACCTTTTTTTTATCAGGGGGCATCATAAATTTACATAATACAAATTAACAAAACAGCACGTATTTTAAACCGGAGTTCTACCTGACTTGTAACAAAAGGTTCGATATTTGAATCTAAACACAGACAAAAGACATCTATATTTACTTTTGAATCGGTAGAAATATACGCATTATTGATTATTCTAACCGGAATATTAGGGGGACTTCATGTAACATAATACCTCTTTGGCGATAAAAAACTTGTTGTTTCACCTAACATTGCAACACAGAGATAAAACATATTTCCAGCGTTAATACGCATTTAAAAATCTCGTCAAAAAAAACTTGAAATATTTTTTCGATTGTTTTCTTGGTAAAAACAATAGGAACGTACTACAGAAATCTTTTATATCCACATTAAATAAAAAACGCTACAGTATAACCGAAAACGGGTGTTTTGTCAAAAACCGCCATCCCTAGTTCAGAGCGACTGTGAATTGCCGTTCTGAAGAGCCCTATTAGGGCGAAATACGTATAAGCGGATGCACAGACGCATTATACGTGAAATCAAATCTTAACTGTCTTTTCCTCTTATGCTATTTATTTATTGATAATTCACAATTTCTGGACAATACCTTTAATAATTCACTAAATTTCAGAACAACGATCAAATTCAGCCGGAGCTGTTTGTACTAGCTGCGATCCTGCTGACATTTTTGGTTCACTAGTCCTAGACGATGGTGAATCAGATGAGAAGTCCCAAAATTCTCAAGTAACGCTTCCTTGTACGTTTAGACACAGAAGTACCACCGGTCCTTCTACTATCGGCTTTTCAGCGGAAAAGGATGAGGTAAGACTTTAAAATATTTCTTTCTCCAATGATATAATTATATCCACCCGTAACTAATTTTATTTTATTTATTTTATATATCACTACTTCAGTTGTCAGATTGTCGAATATGTCACTGAACCTATTCGCTCCGTGCGTGACTGACACGACACCTACCGCCTTTTTCTGACAATTTTGGAGTCCCAATTTTCAGGTTAAACATATGACATATGTTTGACATTGTTAAATACATGCGAAATTGACAATTATTAATAAATTAGTTTTTTAACTATATTTTTTCAGTTTATGTACAAAATAAATGTAGTATTAAAAACTGGGTTTCTCAAAATTGATCATAATATATCTTTTCAACTCCAAACGTAAAAGAAGGGGAAAAATCTAGTACTGACAAATCAAGTTTTTCACGCAAAAGAGCATATAATTAAAAACAATAGTAGTAAAAGTTATGATATAAAAGCTAAAGTCATCTACAGTTAGCTTGAAGCCTTATGAAATATCATTCAAGGTAAATTATTTAAATTTTTCCTATTTCAATTGCGTAAAATTGAAATTATGTGATATTTACTTTTTCATATTAATAGCAGGAATTTATCTATTTCTTTTCTCTAATTTATATGTAATCTTTGGGAACCTATAAAAACTACACTCACTGTTTTTGCTATTATTAACACAATTAAATACGCAACATGTATTTGCACACATTTTTGATAAAATTTATGAGTAAAAATATTTTGTCCAATATTCCAATTTTGTCATATTTCGCCGCTATGCACGCTGGCGTCGTTTCAATGTACCCCTACTATGGTCACGCACGGAGCGAATACAAATCATGCGAAAAAGATGAATTTTTCGGATATGGATTGATTGATTGATTTATATTTTTTGACTTCAACAAAGAGATGCAAATAAGTTTGGCCCTACCCCCTCTGATAACAGGACGAGACACGAAGAGAACTTAAGAACAAAAACGATACGAATGCACGCGTACAGTTATATTTAAAAAAAAGGTACAAGTAATAGAAAGGGAAGTTAACGTCATCCTATTTGTGTAAAACCGGCTGGGATTTTTGGAGGGTATCAAATTTCATAAGTGATCAATAATGCAACTCATAGACGTCAAAGACGTTTAATTTGATAGAAGGTTTAACGTTACGTACAATAAAAAAATTAATTGCCTCGTCACTTAAGTGAGATTGAAGAGGCTCAAATAATTACTAAAATGGAAGAAGGATGGTCAATTCGTTCCCTAGCAAATTTCTATAATAGAAATTTGAAAACAATCTTCAGAATTAAGCAACAATGGGTCCAACAACAATCATTAAAAAGAAAAGTTGGTTCAGGGCGTTCCAAAGTATCCACTCCTCAACAAGATGCTGCTTTAGTACAATTCTTAAGAGATAATCCATTTGCGACGTCGAAGGATTCAAGGATTCATACGGGATTTCCTGGTGCCCAACCTACTGTAAGCAGAAAGATCAATGAATCTGAATTAAAAAACCGACCAGCTGCTAAAAAACCATTAGTAACTGTTGAACATCGGCAAGCAAGAGTAATATTTGCACTAAACTATATTTACCGCAACCCACAATTTTGGAACAACGTCATTTTTACTGATGAAAAGAATTTTCAGTCGACCTATAACGGTCAAATCCGTGTTTATCGTCCAGCCAATACTAGGTTTGAAGAACTATATATTCACTCTCATAATAAATCTGGACGTTTTTCTGTAAATGTATGGGGTTGGATTAGTATACATGGACCTGATGTTTGTTGGAGATTAGAGGGAAGATTTACTGCCGACAATTACATTACCGTTTTGGAACACGTAATGCTCCCTTCTATTGAGCAATTGTATCCTAATAATACTTTTATATATTAACAAGATAATTATTCAGTCCACACTGCCCATGCCGTAAGGAATTGGTTTCAAACGCAAAACCTGGAAGTATTGCCATGGCCTGCGCACAGTCCAGATATAAATCCAATTGAAAACATTTGGCGCATAATTGTTAAAAAATATATAAAAGAAATTTTATGCTACAAAATTCAGATCAATTGTGGGATACAATCTTAGAGTGCTGGGAAGATCTTGATCGAAATATGATATCTAATATAATTCAAAGTATGCCAAATAGACTAAATAAAGTTATAGAAGCAGATGATTCTATCACCAAATACTAAATTCTATTTGTAACAGTCATTAAAATTATTCTTTATATAATTGTTGAATAAATGGTTTCGTCTAATTAATGCTCAACGCCAATGATTTATATTTTTAATAACCTGTGACATTCAAAAATCCCAGCCGGTTTTACAATGACGTTAACTTCTCTTTCTAATAATTGTATTTTTTTTTTTTTTTTAATATAACTGTACTACAACAACTTGATAAAGATATTAATAAAGCAGTGAGAAAGGACATATGACAATATAACACAAAAAATAACAACGGTTGTCCAGGAAAATAAAAGTTTAAAGGTGCTGAAAAGATTCAAGCTCTAGGTAAGAAGAATATTGTTAAGCTCGCAGATCAGAATGAAAAAGTGGTAACAGATAAAGATAAGATAATTAAGATAGTTTAAGAATTTTACACAGAATTATATAAAAAAGGGGTAAGAAAGACGGCACCAAGTTGAGAAAAGTCCAGCATGTGGGTTCAGAGAATATCCCAGAAATAACAATCGAAGAAGTCTCAAAGTCATTAAATCGAATAAAAAACAATAAAGCAGCTGGTGATGACCAAATCGTGATTGAGGCAGTTAAAGCAGGAGGAAAGACAGTATTGAAAGCACTGACACAATTATATAACTTATGCCTTTCAAAAGAGGTTACACCATCTCAGTGGAATAAAGCTGTTATAGTAGTCATGCACAAAAAGGGAGATTTAACAGAGCTAAAGATTTATGGACCTATTAGCTTGTTATCTCATGTTTATAAGTTATTTATAAAGATAATAACTAATAGATTGACATCAAAACTAGACTTCTATCAACCTTGCGGCAAGCAGGATTTAGAGCTGGATACGGAACAAACGATCATTTGCAAACCATTAAATCGTTAGTTGAAAAAACCGTTAAATATAATATACCCCTGATACTTGTCTTTTTCGACTTTGAAAAAGCATTTGATACGGTCAATCAAAGTGAAATGCTCCAAGCTCTAACACAATGTAGAATAGAGAATCGATACATATCCCTCGCCAGATACATTTATCAGCATGCTACAGCGTGTGTAAGACTTAATGAAGATACTGATATTCCAATAGATTGGAACGAAAAGGTCATCAATGTAGATGGAAAATTTTGAAATATTCTTAAATATGCAGATGATATCGTTCTTATTGCAGACAGCTTTGATTAGGCACAGATGCTCCAAGAACTTCATACTACCACAAAAAGAATTGGTCTTAAAATATTTTTTTTCAAAAACACAATTTATGACAAATTTATTGAGCCAGTTGACTCCTATAAATACTTGGGCCTGATATCAGAATAAGTCGAGACAACCAAACAATCGAGCTGAAAAGAAGAATAAACCTCGCTTGGGCTGCATTTGGAAAGATGAAGGATAATTTTAGGTGTATGATTTTTATGTGTCTGAAAAGAAAAGTATTTAATCAGTGTATTTTGCCAGTGATGACCTACGGCGCAGAAACCCTAACACTCACAAGAATAACAGTGAGTAAACTACAAGTTACGGAAAAAGCAATGGTGAGAATAATGTTAGGGATTTCACTACGTGATAGGATACCCAGTGCTACTATACACAAAAGATCAGGAGAAGCAGACGTTATTGAAAGGATAACAACACTAAAGTGGAACTGGGCAGGTCAAGTAGCAAGATCAGTTGATGACTTGTGGACAAAAAGAATTTTGGAATGAAGACCCCGAATACAAACTTATAGAAATAGAGGTCGACCCCCAACGAGATCGACAGATGACATAAAAAGAGTGACTACAAATTGGATTCAGATGGCGCAAAATCGGACTAAGTGGAAAAGCATGCGAGAGGACTATGTTCAGCAGTGGACGTTAGAGGCTAGTCGATGAATATTTTAATACCTGTATAATCGAAAATAATTTTAAATTACAAACAAAAACCTAACAAAATAAAACCATGGGTTTTATGCATCCTGTATGCAAATAATGTATTTAACATATTTTGTTTCTAGATTTTTGAGTTTTATGTCACTTTTTAATTATTGTCACTCTTTTAAAAAGTTACTAAAATAAATTTTGCGAAACAATATCTATTTTTTCAACTGTATTTTGACTTTTTAACAAAAATCTACAGTTTTTCATTTTATCACACCGTTACTTCTTACTATTATAATATAAGTATATAAATATGTTTCAGGTCAGTATGGTGCTTCCAACAGAACTCGCAATTCCAATGCCTAGTCTCTTATCAAACGATTTAAATAATGAACCCAAAACTCTCTGCAAACCTGAACCAAAGACTCAATACCAAAGTGAACCATCGTATTCGCAGACGTGTCAAAAGCCATCTCTACATCTCAACCTTCATCAATCACTGCAACCTCAAGAACCTAAATACGAGTATGGTAAAGTAATGCATGTATATGCGAAGAAAATGGCTAAAGAAAAAGAATTTCCCACCTCAAAGAGTGAAGCTAGTCTGTGTAAGAAAAAGGAACCACATCCCGCGAAAAATAAAAATCATCATCACCACCACCATCAGTGTTGTCCAGGATTTGGGGATTCTACAAAACACCATCGATATCGAAGCAACGCTTGTATTATTAGCTAGGTTTTAATGTAATCAGTTTTTGATCGATATTAAATAAGTTACTTTTTGTAGTTTCTATTTTATTTATGATATTGTCAAGCTAGCACTCCAATAAACGAAGGAAACGCCAGAAAACACACGAGTATGAAATAAAATTGATGAATTCGACCGTTACTTGGTGGAAATTCATTTGATGTATTACAATAAAACACTGAAAACTTTGTTTTCAAAGTTCCATTTATCCTATAAATTCAACTTCCCTTCACACTTTCATTCAGGCTTAGGACTGTCATAGTTTATACATAATATAAACATTGGCGTGTTTAGAAGATGTTTTTTTTATTTTTTCGTATTTTTTTTTAATTTAATAATTTTTTTTGTTTTCTTTTTAAATTTTTTTGGTTTTTTCCGTTTTTTTTTTCAAACTTTTTATACAGTAAAATACAAAAAATTCTTGGGAAAAAAAAATTGTCTATTTATTTCAGCTTCTGGATATATGCCAATGTCCTTAAACACAACCTTAAGTCCCTTGTATCTTTATATTTCTGTAAAGTTTTGGATATTTTTTCATCAAGATTAATATTTGTTTTCTTGCGCCGCTTTCCTTCTAGATTGAAAGTAAATCGAGCATAAAGGTGATCACAATATTCTGCTTCTTTATCCAGGCACTTCACTAATTGGAATACATTGGGATGTTGTCTTATTACTGTATTCAGACGATGATTCCAACCTTCTAAAACGTTATTACTTCGATGTCTTTGATCATGGCAATTCCACAGTTCCTTGGTAATGTGAGTATTTTCTAACAATTGTTTAACAAAGTAATCGTTAAACTGTTCCATTTTTTCCGAAACAGGAGAGGTTTGTTGAACCCATAACCAGCCATCATCGACATCTTCTATGGGTAGATACGCTAACGCAGCACACATTTTTATGTGCAACGGTATCTCTTCGTTGTCATTGTATTCAGAAACAAGTCCAATATTTTGAACATTTTTCCATATACATTGATTGAAATGAAAATTACAACCAGAAATTTTGGCTTCTACCTGTTCAAAATCCAGTTTTATAAGAGATGGTTTCCAATTTGGTAGTTTCTCTTTCATTTATGAAAATAACATACCGTTTGTCTCTTTGGTTTTGTTACGAAGTAACGCAAATATCAATGGAATTGTATTTGTCTCCTCTGACGTACTACCAAGATGGATATGAACGGTATATATTTGACTAAATTGCTTACTGCAGCTTTTAAATGTTCCATCCATAAATACAGTGTCCTTACTGTTAACCAAAATCTCCCTAGCTTTGTTGCTGGCAAACACCAAGATTCTATATCCCGAGGAAGTGGTCTTGTCGATAAATAAAAATTTCGTTTTGTCGCTCATTGTAAAAATTTCTTCTGGAAATACTATTTTGGATGCTGCCGCTGGATCTGTGAGCAGCCCACGCGCACGTTTTCTACAATCGTTTAAAACACATTTCACTGAAGAGAATTTTGGGATGTCTGTCACGAAATCCAGTCCTTGACTATATATTCTTTGAAATTCAAATTGATATAAAACAAATGACGGTATTATATTTTGATTTGATACAGAGCAGCAACAAGCCGCATATACGTATTTCGATCTCTTTAGATCTCCTCAGTACGGTATAGTTACTACTCCATATCAAACCAAAATATTTTCCCGTCGTAGATTATAGTTATTAAAAATAACTATTTACGGACGTAACTACGCCATCTAAGAACAAAAAGAGAAATCATACGATTTCTACCTGGCGAAATCAAATTCAAATATAGGCCGCCGTGCTCCCTAAGACTTGCGAAGCAAACAGCTTGATGAATGCATCGGCGGGAAAATATTTTGGTTTGATATGGAGTAGTAACTATACCGTACTGAGAAGATCTAAAGAGATCGAAATACGTATATGCGGCTTGTTGCTGCTCTGTATCAAATCAAAATATAATACCGTCATTTGTTTTGTTTATTTACTTCATTTGGAGTACCAGAAATCGAATTCACTACGAATATAGGCCATGATGAACGGCATTTGGAGTGCAAGTTTTAGACTCCCTTGCCGATGCATTCATCAAGCTGTTTGCTTCGCAAGTCTTAGGGAGCACGGCGGCCTATATTTGAATTCGATTTCATCATCATCATCATCAACTAGCCTCTAACGTCCACTGCTGAACATAGGCCTCTCGCATGCTCTTCCACTTAGTCCGATTTTGCGCCATCTGAATCCAATTTGTACTCACTCTTTTTATGTCATCTGTCCATCTCGTTGAGGGTCGACCTCCCATTCGATTTCGCCAGGTAGAAATTGTATGATTTCTCTTTTTGTTCAAATTGATATATCTTTATCTTGACATCGGCAAATAACTATTGTCTTCCCTAGCTCTCTTTCGATCATTGAAGACACACTGCTTCACTTCTGTCGCTGCAACACTCGGCTTACACTACTGTTCGGCTTCCTTAATTATTGTGTTATAATCCATAATTATGTGGCCTCGAAATTTTTCAGTTTTCTTTTTCAAACAACTCCAAAAAACCGAACCATCTTTATTTGTTTTTTTCATATTTTCTGTTACCATACCCTTTGTTAATGACTTAAGTAGTTACCAGTTCGCATTATTAGGTAGAAAGGAAAGTTAGTTCCAGCGATCTTTCATTTTGGGAATTCTAGTTACTAATTATATCTAAACAATTGACTTCCAGGTAGAAGGATTATAAACAGAATTATTAAATATTAAAGAACAATCTGTTGTTTGACAGTATTAGAAAAATTTAATAATTTTGTTAGTTTTGATTTGACATTTTTTTTCAAATCTAAAGGAAAAAGATGTTTCTGTTTATTTGACATGTTAGTTTGTTCATTGCAGGTTCACCAGACTATTATTATAGAATGAAATTAAAATTATATTGCAAGAGAGCGCAAATCGACCGATTAAGGAATCTATAGTAGTTGGATATTTCTATTAAGAAAATTGCAAAGCGCAAACCGGTCGATTTCAGGTAAGGGCGCAAAACGGTCAAGCGCAAACCGGCCATATTCAAATCTCATGACCATACGGTCAGTTAGTTTGTGTTAAAACTAATTTAAATGGAGAATAATGCTTTTGTTGTCATTTAACTACTAGTCGGCCGGCGCCACTGAGTAAAGATGGTCTGGCGTTAGCAGCGCAGAAAAATTAGTGATACGCCCATTTCAAATCGCAGTGTGCTTTAACTGCTAAAACAGTCTTAAAGTCATGAGGTGATCCGGTCAGCTTTGGTACAAAGCGGTTATACTCCGGAACTATCGATGGGATTATCAGCGCCGATGGCGTTTAACCCTTGAAACAAGCGATGAGCTCTAATAATTTAATTCGTACTACTCGCAGTTACATGATTTAATATCTAATCAATGTCTACATTAGGTTGCGAAACTGCAACAATTGCAGTAGATAAAGAAAACGACACTAGAGATTGCGAGATCAAGAGGGTACTGTATTTTTTTTTAACCTATTCTCTATCCTTCCATTGTTGGATATAATAGGTCTCCCCCAGTTCTCTCCATCTTTCCCTATCTTGAGCTGTTCTCTGCCATGTGGGACCTCCTTGTTTCCTGATGTCATCTTTCCACCTCATCTGTGCTCTGCCTCTTGATCTCTTTGCATTGTATGGACGCCGCTTTCCGATCACATTCTTCCATCGTCCGTCTTGGAGACGTTCATTACGTCCAGACGATTTCCATTTCAGTTTTGCTGCTTATTCGATCGCGTCTACTGTCTTTGTTCTAGTCCTGATCAACTGGTTACGTTTTCTATATTTAAGTGATATACCCAACATTTGTCTCTCCATCGCTCTTTGTGCCTTTCTTATCCTATCCAAATTGGCCTGTGTAAATGTCCATGTCTGTGCTCCGTAGGTGAGCACCGGTGTTATACAGGAGTTATATACCTTGCTTCGTAAGTATAGAGTGATTGTTTGATTTTTTAGAACGTAAGAAAGTTAGCCGAACGCTGCCCATTCCATTCTTACTCGTCTCGACATTTCGACTGTTTGATTTTCTGTATTAGCTCTGATTGCTTGTCCTAGATAGATATACTCATTTACCTGTTCTATTTTTTCTGTTTGTATTTTTATTGCCTCTTGGTCTTCCGTGTTTGTCATTACTTTTGTTTTGTTGAAGTTAATTTTTAGGCCTTTTTGCAGTGATTTTTCATGAAGTTCATTCAACATTAATTCCAGTTCTTGTCGTTCCGAGGAGATCAGGAGTATATCATCCGCAAATCTAAGGTGATTTAGGTACTTTCCGTTAATACATATTCCTCTGTTTTCCCAATCTGTTGATTTTATTATATCTTCGAGGGTCAAGGTAAACAGTTTAGGTGAAAATAAATCGCCTTGTCGGACTCCTCGTTTAACTTTTATATTATCCGTTATTAATTTGTCGTCCTGATTTACGGTCATGGTTTCGTTTTGGTAAATATCATGTATTAATTGTCGGTATCTTGAATCTATGCTACTATTGACCAGAGCTTCTTCAACCGCCCAGTGTTCAATGCTGTCGAAAGCCTTTTCATAATCTACGAATGCTAAGTACAGCGTTAGGTTGTATTCATTGGTTTTCTCAATTAAGATTTTAAGCGCATGTAGATGGTCGATTGTGCTGTATCCTTGCCTGTTCCTCTGGTTGGTAGTTATCAAGTTTATTGGTTAGTCGGTTGTTTATTATTCTTGTGACGGTTTTATATAGTTGTGACAAAAGGGAAATAGGACGGTAGTTGTTTAGGTCTGTTCGGTCTCCTTTCTTATGTATTAAGATTGTGTTGGCATTTCTCTATTGTTTAGATATTTTACCTTCAAACAAACATTTGTTGAACAGTATTTTTAGCATTTTTTTTATCGTGTCTCCTCCTTCTTTTAGCAGTTCCGCCAGTATTTTGTCCTCACCGGCCGCTTTATTTCTTTTCATGTCGTTCATGGATTTTTTGATTTCATCTTCAGTTATTTCTGGTAATACCTCTGAGCCAACATTTTGTATTTTCCTCGAGAGATTCTGTTTAGATGATAGTGGTGGGTCATTT